TAGTCTATAGTTGCACGATGTTGATAACAGGTTTTATGAAAATCGGTAAATATGAGGACTCATGCACTGAAATCTGTATCTCTAAATTAGTAAACTGGATTATTCTAAAAATATCTTCAAACTGACCATTGAGGCAAAGGGAACCTCTGAAATGTCGGTGAACTACCAGATTACACAGCGCGTCAACCCAAGACAGTAATTTTGAATTAAATTAGGACTGTAGCTTGTCTTTGGGGAATTTGTTGTTGTTGCATAAAAATCCACTACTTTAAGAGGGGAACAGTGCGGGTACAAGATGATTCGCTTCCTTCTGAAATTCTCGTACAACCCGTTGAAGTCTCGCTCTACAGGTTAATAACCAGGGACTTTTTGTATCGTTTTGTAGGACGGTGGTAATGCTGGGAAGAGAGAGAGAGCAGAACCTCTTTCTTCTCTCTCTGCTGACTAAATTACCATCTACTTGGTGCAGCTTCTACTTCTAACATCTCAGTGATGTGTCTTGAACCTGCTTTATGAGACTTTTTTATATATTTTTTAGAATATTAAGCTTGTGACCTGGGTGAGAAAATAGCGCAGCGTTAAATCTGCTGCCAATAAATTTCTTAGGTAGGCCTACTCTTAGAAGTTGCCGCTAGTCCCCGTATTTGGATAAGACTTTCAGGTGTCACAAAATCCCACTCTAAGCCCGTTCCGTACCTACTTTACTGTCGTAATAAAGTGCTGCGTTTTATGAGAATGTTCTTGTGCATATTGGGATCAAACCGAAGGAGAATTCATGTTTAATTTGTGACGTGGTCCAGCGAGACCAAGCCTTGAATTCTTTCATAAGCAGCTGAACAGCTTTTTGTTAATGAATGTTGCAATTCTGTTAAGTCACTAGGCGTAGCTGACTTAAGGAAACAGGGCGATAATGTCTGGACAGGATTCAGGTTAGAGACCAGTGGTAAACTCATATGAACACGGTAATAAACCTTGTTGTTCCATAAAAGACGGAGAATTTCTTGACTGTCCCCTTATTAAGAACGACTGTGCTTCGTGAAGTAAGTTAATTACAAGCGGATGTTAGTGAAAGTTTGTTAATGTCGACGATATTAATACTGGACTACTGAACTTCGTTTTCTGGCGGATTCAACAATTTCTTCTTCACTACATAAATACCTATGGATAACACGGGCTCTTTGCTGGGTTACAACTTATCTCAACCTAGTAGCCACGGTGGTCTAGCGGTTAGATCGCTGGCCTTGTAATCCTGGGGTCTCGGGTTCGATTCCCGGCGGTGCCCGAATTTATAACTTGTGTTGGGCAAGGCCGTGGTCTAGGCAACACGGAGTTTTCCTCCGGGGGCTTCCCCGGTTTCTCCGTGGCATCCCAACAATTACTCCATTCACACACAGAAGAAGGCAATGGCAAACCACTTCTGGATCATCTGCCAAGAACGTATATGAACAGGTCCCAGTCCGAGAAAAGGATGGAAGGATCCTGTTTATATGGACCTGTCCTCAGACAGAACACTAAATAAATAATATATAATAAAATAGTATCGAAGTTAATAGAGCATATTGCTCTCCACCCTTTGTAAGCCTTCATGGTAAAAGGTGATACAATAGACCTTGCACACATATATATAGGGGCTAGACCTGTCGCAAGAAATTTTCGAGCTTGGTTCATCGTTACAAATACACACGTTGTGGGCCAGCCAGCCGTCGTCCGGAGGGGGGCGATAGTTCATAAGCCATCTTGCTCTCCCCTTGTCACTCCTGTCTAACATTTCCCTCTGACTGTGACGTAGCTCAGGATAGCAAATATTTTTCGTCCAGTTTAACATACTGTTACACCACCGAGGGCGTGTGTGTGCACACTGTACGTCTGGAGTTTGAGATTTTCACGATAGTGAGTACAAAGAAGGCGATCTTCTGGGTTGATATACCGTGAAGTCTTGTAGAATTTGAGCAACGTTTCAGATGTCCTTGCTGCCTCCATGATCAGGGTAACGGTTACCTTTTTTAAAATTATTTCAGGCTTTCGAGGTGTTTCGGTGCTAATGGGAGCTCTGAAATGAAGCAGTCATGGCCTAATTTAAGGTGCTATGTTTATATTTGACTAGAGGGACTGAGGATAACCACTAAAACCGCAGTTAGAGTAGCCGATATCCAGTCCTAGGTTTGAACCTGAGACTTCCCGAATGGTATGGAATGAGATTGTTATGCATGATGAGCAGGTAGGGATTTAAAAGAGGTTATTGTGGCAAATTTCACATTGCTTACATTCTGCAAAAAGCATTACAGAAATTTTAATAGAAGTTGCATATTTTAGAACATTTATTAGGCCCTATCGTATAGATTGCAATACATACAGTTCTTAAATAATGCTTTGAAGCCCATTTGAGAATATATTTCCTATCTTAAAGAAAACACTTCTCCATTATAAAGATTAAATTATTAATGCTGTTTACGAAAATAATGTCAGAATTGTACAGGCCCATAAATACACTATATGCACACTGAATACTCAGTGAATGTAAGATTTGAGGTTTTCACAGCGGTGAGTATGAAGATTTCTGTCTTCTGGGTTGTTGCGCTGTGTAGTATGGTCGATGTTAACCAACGTTTCAGAGGTCATACTGCTTCCCTGATGACGGAGGCAGTATGATCTCTGAAACGTTGGTTAACATCGACCAGACTACACAGCGCAACAACCCAGAAGACAGAAATCTTCATAGTCAGTGAATATTTAAACGTGGCACTTAAAAGTACCACTGTGATTTAAATGGCTGAGTGACGTTAGAGCCCTTTGTACTGCAGATTTTCGCAGTGATACCATATTGATAACATTAATTTTGGAATTCGAATTAACGGTGGGAAATTATCGAGTGGACTAACATTTATGTCTATTTGCACGAATCTCAGTCAGTTGTTTCAAAAGTTATTGAGCTGCAGACATGATGGGTCCACAAGACAAAGTAGACAGAACCATTTCCTAGACTGGGATTGGAAGCCACGCGCCTACAAGAGTGCCATTATTGCTCAAGATATGACCGGTCTACGCCGATTGTGCGTGGGTCACTTGGCACGGACAGCGACACTGGCAGTTGCAGATCTGGCTTGCAACCAACGGCGGTGTGTTCCAGCGATTTCTTATTATAATATGACTACTTATAACTCGGAGTTTTGTTCTGTCTTAGTAAACACTCCTCCATTTCAACCCACTGAAAACACAAGGACTTAAGACAAAGGTTTGTGGGCGGAAAAGCGGTCACTAATATTAAGGACACGGCCGTGCAATACGTCAGGCCGGAAGGTCAGTTGACGTGGGATTTGTGGTGGACAAAGTGACACTGGGACAGGTTTC